GATAATTGAAAGTATAACGCCCGGAGGCTGGTGATGACTAGACCTTGGATATAAATCGTAGGTAAGCTTCCTAGTGAAATTTTGATAGGGTACCTCTGACGGTTATGTATGTCCTCAACCAAGGTGGCTATAGTGATAGTACGAAGAATGGATAGTGTTGAGCTTGGATCTTAAATTTGAGTGCGTCTTAGCTGCATGCCTTGAGATTTTCTACAGTTTTCATGGGCATATATGATTGAATGTAATGCATGTATTCTTGTTTGATATGATTATGCTTGATGTATGCAGGATGCATGACATGTATGCTTCATATGATAATGTTATGAATTAAAATGATGCGATGATTGATAAATGCAATGCCCATGTTATTTGAACTGCAGATGTCAAGAAAGGCTACCAGATGAGAACTGGGAAGAAGAATTAACTTCCAGACAGAAATTGGAACACTACCAGATGAGAATTGAACTTTTTGAAATGATACACCAGACAGGAACTAGGCTTTTGAAATGATGTGCCAGACAGAAACTGGGCTTTTAAAATTATGTGCCAGACAGGAATTAGGCTTTACACCAACGTCAGTAAGGCTACTGGAATAGTATCAATCTTGGAAAGGTGAAACGAAAAGCAAGGTTTCTAATATTAGTAAGGTCACCGAAATACGTCAATCAGGTGATTGGAAAGTGTGAGGTTGCTCACGACTTTTACATAAGGTTGCTTACGTATGGACGGCTGATGAAGATTGTGTAAGGATGCTCACGACAGACTCGCGGGGAGGTATAGTAAAATAGATGTTACTGACTTAGCTGGAGATTGCACTTGGATTAAGAATAGTGACTCCCATGGAAATTGACTTTGGTTTTTACGGGGGGTCCTAAGTCTTGGTCTATGATATGCCATGTATGCATGCAGATGCAAGTGTTAATGCGTATAATGACTGACCAATGTATGTAATGAGCGAATTGGATATGTTGGAATTTTGATGTGCCAATGAGAATTAGGCTTAAGGGAAGACGCCAATTGAGATTGGGCTATTTATTAGATCTATGATGTCGGAATTCTTCAGATGGATGAGATGATAGGTATAGCTTGATTCTGGATTGAAGTGACCTAATGAATGCATGACAATGATTTATGTAGACTCATATGCTTTTGATAATGCCCCTATGATAGGTCGTGGATGATTAAAGTGTAGAGGGGTTGCCAAGGCTGCTTGTCTCACGATCGTAGGGTGCGATACTAACTGATTTCCCGATACTTGTTTTGAACTCGAAGGTTGTTGACGTAGGTGAAAGATCCACTGGGGGATCACAGAGAGCTTGCTTCTTTGTGGGATATATTGCCCCAATATGTTAGGTATTGGAAGATATTCTCCTTGATATGAGCTTGGAAATAGTTTGATCATAGTATGAATGACCCCACTATTTTTGCACTTTGAAACATTATGCCCTCAATCTCCATAATCTGGAGGAGGTACTCTTGGATGATTTGCCCTTGATGAACTGTTTTGAACCAACTTCTTTTGATCGAGTCTCGCAGTGGTTTTCTCTAACATTCGAACTTTGAAAGATATTCCCCCCAATCTGTAGGATCTGGAGGAAGTACCCTCATAAAGAATTTGGACCTAACCATGATGTGATGTGAACTTGATATGGACTGCCCCAAGATTTGAATCTTTGAAAAGTGTGTACCTGAAATTGCTTGAAAGGGACCTTGGATCTTTACATGTTGTAAGATGAACTTGATGTGCAATGCCTCAACGTTTGAGTCTCGAAGGTTGCCCCATGATTATTAGGGCCTTGAGAAGTTTTTTGAAAAGATGAAACCGAGTCATACCATGTTGTGATATGACTTGATTAAGGAATGCTCCTTCGTAAGGTATGCCCCTGATTGGTGCTTTAAAATGTGATCCAAGTTGATTGAATCTCATAATGATCACCTAGACAATATGATCTTCATGTGATACATCCATGTGATACATCCATGTGATCATTAGTCTTACTTATGATTACAGGGTTCTTCTTTAGATGCTTTTCCCCTAGTTAGGAGCTTCTTGGAAAGGGTCGCTTATAATTAAATAAATTTTGAGATCTCCTTGATGCTAAGTATTGATTCATTTATAAAAGTGTAAATTTGAAAAGTAATTCTTAGTGATGCCCATACAAGTTTTAAAATCGAAGTCTGAATAGAAATGGATGATTAGAGATAGAGATTCAAAGAAGCAAAGTGGTTAGCAATAATTTTAACAAACATAGGAGTTATTTTAACACAAATTTTGCCGAGTATGCTTTCATAGTTAACCTTGCTTCAATTAGGACTTTTGAAGGTTGTAACGTGGCCATGTTCGTGGTTTAAGAAACAAAGGATATAAGGCTCAAAATTTATTTAGCCCACCCCATTCTCCTTGATGTTCTCCAATCCTAAGTTCAATTAATCTAACTGATGCATTCAGCCTGCAAGAGAATTTTCATAGTTGTGGTAATGATCATAAGCATTGGTAAAGATCCAAGCACCAATGAAAAGAATTGATAAGATCCAAGAATTGATGAGAATCCTTGATGATTCTTGAGGTGGTAGTCACAAGATTGTTCTCCAATTTATTTGTTTTCAATCCCTTATTTTTGCACGGACCAATTATTTTGAATTTTGGTCTATCGGGATACCTTATCTTTTGCCTAAGTCAAATTTTTTTATTTTTTGTGACTTAGCGGCCTTTCTCCTTTTGAATTTATTTTTCCTTTTTTTGATTTTGAACACTTGTGACTGTCATGATTGTTGTAAGCTTCACCTTCATTGTTTCCTCGATCTTGAATAATGTACTGAGGAAGAAGACATCGTGCACTTTATCTTCATTGATTCCTCAATATTGGATGTTGAATGTGAGGAAAAGGATGTGATTGAACCTTTGCTTAGATTGTTTCCTCAATGATGTATCGAGGAAGGAGATATGCTTGAACTTTTGCTTAGATTGTTTGATTCCCCTGGGATTGGAATGCATCATTGGATTAATTGAGATATACCCTGCCCCTAGTTGAAATTAAGGTTTTTTATTTTAGAAAATAGAACAAAACTCCAACTCCTAGCTCGATGGGGTTAACTACAGATTATCGCCTTATATCTCCATTATTTGGGAAGTGAAACAATGCCTTACATCGTCAACTCGGTCTTACAATTGAAAGTATAGTTTAGCAAAATTCAGTTATTTAGTTTTCATCATTATCCCTCAAAGTTTGTTAAAGTTGAAAAAGGGAAATGGAAAAGAAGAGTGAAAATGGAAAGTCGTTGATTATTTATGGAAAGTGATAGTATAGTGAATACGAATGGATTGATTTCAAAAATATGCATGATTTTATTTATTTTAATCATTAGTCAAAAGATAAAAATTTACACCAAATACAACTTAGCAACATAGAAATTAAAATTTGAAATTGATAAAGTCTAATGATCCTATGGAAGAGCTTCTTTGTTGATCCTCTTGACTTTAAGATAGCTTCTGGATGTTCTTGGACTTGTCAAAGCATGGGGGTGACCCTTGACGTTTCTTAGGCATAACTATTATGCCAATATGGCAGTTTCTCTTGATATGGAAGAGTCACCAATGATAGTTGCACTTGAGGCGTTTTAGACCTTTGACTTGTATGATGAAGGGTTTCCTTCTCTCCTTAACAAGATTTATAGGACCAAGCTCACCGGTTGGCTTTCTCCTTCAACAACTTATGAATTTCTTGAGTTCCGTCAAGCTTTCTTGAAGAATGCTTGGAATTTGTTCTTTGAGTATCAGGCAATCTGTTAGCTGGATGATAGTTGGACAAGGGTGAATATGAAAATGCATATGTATGAATGTATGGTTGCAAAAAAAAATTTGTCTTTAAGGGTATGCAAAAAAAGTTTCATGGATATGCAATGCGACGCAGATGTAGTATGAAGGTAAACATAAGTGTACCCTATATGGGTTTAATGATAGACATGGAAATGAGGATACTCTATACTGACTCAAAGATTGAGACAAACAAGAACTCTGTAAGGATTATGGACAATGAAAGATGAAGAGGAATCCCTACAAGCTAGGGATTATAATAAAGGGACGGGAATTCCTACAGGCTAGGAATTGTGATAGACTAATGGGCAGTTCGAACGAAGATTGGACTTGAGGGAATAACATGGAAGAGATCACATAATGACCGACTAACGGTCACCATATCTCATGGCATAATGTAGGCCACGTGGCGTGCATCAACGAGGACGTCCTTCATGGGAAGGTTCCATATGGGGAACAATATACTATAAAGGTTCTAAGGATAATGAAGGACAAAAGAGGATCCCTACGGGCTAGGGATTATGACTAAATAGAAAAACCTATGAGCTAAACCAAAGAATACCCCTATGAGTTTAGGGTATAATAATGATAAGAGGTAATCCCGTGTAGGTCTAAAATTACAATAGAATGTTTCTCGTGGGAAGGCTTCCTATGAAGGATGGGATGACAATAGTTTTCTTAGTACGTAGGTTCCTAACTTTGGCCTAGGATATTCCACCCTCTCTATAAGGTGGCTTCCTTAAGGGTATCATGGATAACACTATAGGGGAAGGCACAAGAGTCTCCCTTAAGCGGAGCCTCATTATAGACCGAAACTTAAGCATTAAGTAATTACAACCCAATCTCCAAGCTTTGCCAAAGCAAACACACCAAATAACATGTGGCATAATTAAACACAATCAAACAAAGAAAAGATCGATGAGTATTTAAAATTCAGAAAAAGAAAACTCACACTAATATTTATCTCTCTCCACGTGAACGCAAAGCATAGCTCAAAAATGCAGAATATGCTCCAACACATAAATCACTTTCTTTCAGAATCATAAACTTATTTTGCATCTTTCAAAATAAACCTTACCATTCCTCCTCACATAGATCAATATCATCTCTTCTACACCCAAATACCCACACAATACATGTGCTTTGATTTAAATCAGAGGAAAAAGAATAAGGGAAAGAGGCTTACCAAAACCAGCGGTGGGGGTTGTTACCGGTGGTCCGTCGGGATCCAAAATTGGAGGGAGATGGTCGCGGTTGATTGGCTCTTGCGGTTGTGGATTCTTCATTGAGAGGGGATCCATGACTGGGGTTGTTTGTGGCTGTTGTCATTCTTGTGTGTTGACGGTGTTTCGAATTCGTCGAAGCTTTTGAATTTTCGGAAGAAAAAAAACATAAACTTATACAAGTTGTGTTGTGTTAGTTTTTAAATATTGTAACCTCTTGATTCAAATTTATATCTTCTTTTTTCTCCTGTTTTTAATGGATCGTTATTGTGAGGATAGTAGTGAGTGGGTTGTTGTTAATGACTCACAAAGAGGGTTTTATATCATTATAACTAATTTCATAATTTAGAATTGGTTAGTTTAAAAAATATGCACAAGTTTATGTCAAGTTTGACATTACAAATTTCTTTAAAGAAAAGTGATTTTGTGAAGCCTTAGTGATATGGTTTAATTGTCGTATTTGTGAAGTTTAACAGTAAAAGTGGAATGGTACTATTTGATAAAAACAATATAATTGATTGTGTGAGAGTGTAGTCACTAGTATTATGAAAATGTGTAAGATAAATAGAAATCGAAGGTTCCTTCTAAAAAAATATGGTAAGAAGCAGATTGTTTGCGTAATAAGGTGCCTATTTATTTACAAGGATTAGAAAAAAATTTCTAACATAACATAATCAGAAGAAACTTATCACACAATTGGAAGTAAAAACAAAAGTAACCCAAAATTTAAAAAAAAAAAAAGGTGTGAGTGACTAATTGTAAATATGTTGAAATTGTTTGTATAACTTTTTTTTTTTAAATCTTCAGATAATCATCATATGATTTAAACACTAAATTAATTAAAATTAAAAAATAAAGGATAAAATTGAAAAAATATGATGGTCTCATATTTAATCATTGATAAAAAAATAGATTTTGAAGAAAGTGTGTGAAGAAAGAAATTAATAACATGTTGATAATGTGTATGTATTATTAGTGAGTGAAATTGTCGAATTATGGATCTGTTTCACAAAGTTTCTGTTGAGAAACCATGGAATAAACCAAAAGTAAGAGAAAGATTGAGATTATGAATTTTGTGGATGCCTCTTGTTGTACTCCAAAATTTTCCCACTCTTTTCTCAAGGCATTCCTCACAAGGATTTTCAAAAGTTCAAGTTTGCACAAGTACAATTGGACTTTTAATGCCCCATATAATTTTTATGGATCATATTGGACTTTCAAGCATCAGGTCAAAGAGGAAACTGTCGAAAGGGCGAAGAAGATAAAAAAGGTGTGCAAATAACTATATCAAATTCAAAATCTGGTTCAGGTTGGTCGAACTACATGACTGATCGAAAAGGTTGGTTAGCAGATTTTTGACAAATCGAAGAAGTGCAAGCTTGCTTCGATTTCCCAAGCTTAGACTAGGCAATGGCTTCCTTCATGCTTGCTTCAATCCACAAGGCAATGGTTGCCTTCATGCTTGCTTCGATCCACAAGGCAATGGCTGCCTTCATGCTTGCTTCGATCAACAAGGCAATGGCTTCCTTCATGCTTACTTCGATCCACAAGACAATGGCTTCCTTCATGCTTGCTTTGATCCACAAGGCAATGGCTTCCTTCATGCTTTCTTTGATTCCACCTCTAAACCCTTCTACACACATAGTTTCTACACTACGAATCACAATTTGAGGTTTGGACATTTGAACTTTAGACCACTTAATCAACTGATGGTTACTGGTAGGAAAGTAATCCAGAAATTCATTTGTTTTGACTATGCCAATGAGATCATCTTGCATACTCAAAGTGGTACATTCAGATAAATATGGTCCATTCGAAGGACATGCAATTGCTGGAAACAAATATTGTTTTGTCTGTTGATGAGTTTGGTCGAAGATTGTGGATCTATGTGATCAAAATGAAAGGACAAAGTAAGTGGTACATATGGTCCATTTGAAGATCATACACTTGGTGGACCATTCGAAGAACATATGTTGGTGGATTTGAAGAACATACACTTGGTGGTCCATTCAAAGAACACACACTTGGTGGCCCGTTCGAAGAACATACGTTGGTGGATTCGAAGAACATACACTTGGTGGTCCATTTGAAGAACATGCATTGGTGGATTCGAAGAACATACACTTGGTGGTCCATTCAAATAACATACATTTGGTGGATTCGAAGAACATATAATTGGTGGATTCGAAGAACATACAATTGTTGGTCCATTCGAAGAACACACAATTGGTGGAAACAAATATTGTCTTGTCTTTTGATGAGTTTGGTCGAAGGCTACTGAACAAATTCCTATATGCTTCCAAGCCCAAGTTTGTTGTACTGTCCACATAACAGCCTAAAACCATGTCAAAAACAGTCAGTTGTACTGCTATGAAACATCCTTGCACCAAGTTGCCACAACACTCCAAAACTGCTGCAAAACGGTCCTGCTATGCTGCCTCTAAATCAGTCCCATATTTGCACCAAACTAGCATATAAGAGTTGCACCTAGAAAGCTATGAAAAGAACATACCCAAACTGTTCAAATTTCATTTGTCCCCCCCAAAAATAAACCCAACAAGACTCTTCTATAAATAAGTTGTTTCACAACACACAAAGGAGGGGCTTTTGGGACAAGAAAAAAAGGAGAAGAAGAAAAAAGAGAGATAAGAGAATACTAAGGCTGAAACCTTAGAACACTCTTAAATACATAACCAAAAAAAACACAACACCTCTATTTCGAACCCAGAACCAAAAAACACAACCCATCTGTTTCTTTTCTTTTGAATCCAAGAACCTTCAAGGCAGCAACTCAAGTTCTAATCACATTCCAGCTTCAAGGTAAGTCTTCTTGACTTTAAACCCTTCGTTTCAAGAATCATTGATGATTCATCTTCAAAGATAACATATAATAACCATTACATTCGAAGCTAACCTTTTGTTTGTCTTCTTTTCTTGTCAATCATATATTAAGAACTAACCTGTATAGACCATAAAATAATGTTGAAGTAAAAGATTTACAGCATGCTTCGACACAAAGCTTTAGGCTTCAATCCATACTACTTTACAGGCCCAAATAAAAGAAAAAAAAGGGTATTGAATCGAAGGGTGCATGCTTCGAACATGCTACATGAATCGAAAGATTCGTTTTTTTTCTCTGTGAATCGAAGGGTGCATACTTCAAACACACCAGCATGAACCGAAAGATTTGTTGTTTTTCTCTCTCTCCTGCATTATTTTTGTTTTTATACTTTTTATATATTTTCTTACATTATTCAATTCAAAATAGTTGTAATAGATAACTAAGATTTAAATTTCTTGCAATCCTCATTTGTAAATTTGTATCCCCCATCCCCCAAATATTGTAACAGCGTAAGACTTTACGTTTCCGTAATTTACGACTTTAATATAAATTGTTAGTAATTAGAGTGTGTATGGCAAGATAAAATCAACCGTTAGAAAACTCTAATTTCAAAGACAAAAATGCATGCAATTAAACACACAATTCACACGTGCATCTCTAGGATAATCTCATTTGTTGCCTCGGAAAATAGTTATGTCCCTCGAATATGGGTGTTTTAGTAAAGACCCTCGACAAAAATGATTGTAGTCCCTCGATGTTGCCTCTGGTAAATGATCTAGTCCCTTATGAAAATTGCTAAAACGCCTTATAAGTTGCCTTCTATGACTATACGATGACCCGCGTTTGTCCCTTCACATCCAACGATGGGGTTTCTTTTCAAATCAATGGTAAGATAGCAACACCTAAAGGAGGGGGAAAAGAACAAAGACCTTTTTAGTAGGTAGGAAGCTCGTAGTTGCTTGCTCACAAACTAAAACCATTTCCACACTTACACTTTCAAAACATCTTCAAAAACAAACATCTCTTTGAACTATTTTCAAAACCAACACTTTGTATGCATTCTTATAGAGATGAGAATCATTACAAAGTTAGCCGCAACAAAGGCATTTTGCAAAATATTTTCAAACTTACATCCATCACAAAACACCTTTTCAAACAAAGCATTTTTCAAAGTGATCTAGTAAGCAACTAAGAGCCCGTAGATAACTACGGATGAAAAGGGCGCTAACACCTTCCCTTTTCATAACCTACCCCCCGAACTCAAGAAAATATCTCAAAGGTCTTTCCTGTTCTTTTCACCCTTTCCTTTATTGGATAAAATAAAAGTAGATGGTGACTCTTGCTATTCGCAATAATTGCAATCAAACGCAAAACACCCAAGTCAGTTCTCCCACCGTATTACAGAACTGGCGACTCTGCTGGGGAGATTAAACTTAAAAGTAGGGTTACCTTAGAGCTAGATCACTTTTATAATACTTTCTTTGTTTGACTTGCTTGCTTTAAATTTTTGGGTCCTTGTTTGGGTTTTGATCCTACACCCGTATCTGGGGCACCTTTTAGGTAAGTAGCAATAGATCGTGGGAACTGTGCGGGGTATACCGACATGGTTGAAGCGATAAGTACGTTAGTGTGACACATTTGTTGGTACCGGTATCCCTTGAGTTTAGTCAAGGAGAATACGGGGCGGTTGTGTGGTGTCATGAAGTACTAACTGACCTTAGAACCTTTAATTGAATAACTTGGCCATTAGGAAGTAGTGAGATAGATGGCTTTGGTGCAGTCCGAAGTTGGTTGATACTCGATGCTACACTCATTGAGATCTGACTTTTGGGATATTTTGGTCGCCAATAAAGATGCTTGCGCTGAAATAATGCCCAATGAAGAAAGATCAATGATATTGAGATCCCCTAGAACCCGATTACTTTCTAGGACAGGTTGAGCCAACTAAACTTCAAATGGGTACTTACCTATGACTCCATGCAAGTCTAAACCTAAGGAATTATGTGCTTTGTTTGTATATGATTATTTGTACATAAAGAGTTGTTTGCTTTATTCACTTGTACATAACATCATAATATCATACCATAGCACTTTCAATAACCATTTCAAGGATATCAAGGGCCTGTGATGCAGGGACGTGATGAACCAGACGTCCATCAAGGGGCAAGAGGATTTATTTTCCTATAACTAAATTCCGTCAAAGACCAAAGAGCAATAACTTAAGTCAAGGGTTATGACCCACTTGACATGGTGAGCTTGATTCT